CTTTCCTACTGGCCTGGAGTATATAGCTCGGAGGATTGAACCCAGAGCTTTGTGACAAAAACTCTGTTAATTGAGTTACATCCCAGGTCTTGTTTTTTTGTTTTGTTTTGCTTTCATGAGTCAGGGTCTTGCTTTGTGGACCAGGCTGGACTCAAACTTTCCCAGATTCTCCTGCTTCTGTCTCAAATTATGGGGTTACACAATGTGCCATAACGCTGAACTAGCCCTGTTTTTATTTTACACTGAGCACTGTCCAAAGTCCTTGCTGGGCGAGACACACACCAATTCAAAGGCTTAGTACTGCATCCTGTGTTAATCCCAAAGATGGGAGGAGTACACTAACCCAAATCAGCAAGGCCAAATAAGCTAAAGCAGCCAATTAATTAAAGCAAGCCCCCCCACCCCCACTCCCCACCCCCCACCCCCCCACCCCCGTGTACAGGTTTTGAGAGTTCAGCATTGGATGTGAGGAAGACAAGGTTTTTATAGCTCAGGGGTAGAGGGGGTTTCCAAATGGGGAATTTGGGAGGCAAAACACGAAGGGTTACAGGAGCAGAACATGAGTATAACAAATTAGTCATAAGGACCTCTTGAAACAAAGGCAGGATTGCAAGGTGGTCATAAGATGGTCATAACAACAGGTAGTCACAATAACAACCTTTTTTTCTTTTCTTTTTTTCTTTTTTTTTTTGGTTTTTTTTTTTTTTTTCGAGACAGGGTTTCTCTGTGGCTTTGGAGGCTGTCCTGGAACTCCCTTGGTAGTCCAGGCTGGTCTCGAATTTACAGAGATCTGCCTGCCTCTGCCTCCCGAGTGCTGGGATTAAAGGTGTGCGCCACCAACGCCCGGCTACAACAACCTTTTGAAACAAAGGGTTGCAAGATGGTTAAAACTTTTTGAAACAAAAATATGGTTGCCATTTCCTGGAACAGGCAGTACAGACCCATTTGTAGTTAAGGCTACAGGTAAGACGCAGCCCAATCCTTGAGAAACAGGTTTAACCGTAAGCAGGAATGAACTTAGTTTGTCCCTACTGTAAGATGGCTTTTAAACATAAGATGGAGCCTGGTTTGTCTTTATTGTAAGATGACTTTTAAGCATAAGATGGAGACAGGCCAGTTCTTCACCTGGGGTTCAGAGCCGAATCCTGCCTCCTTTGAGGCTCCTGAGACCTCACCTGAGGGGTAGGGCTTGGCAGTCTCTCAGGAACGCCAATCTGGCCTCCTTATTCCACACCCTTCTCATCTTGCCCCAGGCTGGGTTAGGCTGGACCTGTGCCAGGCCAGGAGCTGCCCTCCTGCAATTGGGGAAAGAATCATTCTAGGTGCTTCTTTCCCAGCTGGACATCAATAAACAGAACAAAGTTCAGAATGATAAAGATGGAGGTGTATCCAGGTACTTGCTGATTCCCTCTGAGTCCGCAGTTAGCCAAGACTGGCACGTCTCGCCTGTGACTGCGGAGGATGCATTTGAGTCCAGAGTGGCACTGGGAACACACCAGGATGAGGGCTCTGGTCTAGTTGTTCAAGTCCTGGCTACTTCTTGCTAAGGGGTAGCACCTATCAGTCAGAGAAGAGAGAGAGAAGATCAGCGATTGAGCTCAGAGCTAAGACCTGGTGCTGAGTGATTGCGTTTGCTCTGGGCCTCACTTTTTCTTATCCGGGCAATGGGATCATAATGCCTGGCTGTCTTGGGAGCTGTTTGGGTGATGAGTAGCAAAGCAGAGGTAGAGAGAGCAACAGTAGGGCAGTCATGAGTTCTAAATTCAGCGCTGAATCTCAGCTGGCTTTGGCCTTCACAGCTAAGGTTTGATCTCCTTGTTTGTGAAGCTTTTCCAGCTCCACACGGTGAAGTCATGACTGCAGAGGTTTATTGTTTAAACTCATGGTACCCAGCTCTCTGGGAATTTCCTGTTTAATGAAGGGGCGGGGTGTCAGGGGGCTAAGAGGCCCACCCACAAGGAAAGTGAAATAGGATGTTGTAAACAATCCCAGATAGAGGAACTATTACTTCAACAGGAAAGAGGGGGATTCCAGCCACCAGGAAGCTGTCCTGAAGAGAAGCAGGCACTGGCTGGAAGGGTGGGTCTATGTGGTGCTGGGAGAATGCTGGGTAAAAGCAGGAGCGGAGAGTCCCAGGCCCGTGGGAGGGGAGCGTGGTGTGTGAGTCAGCCTGAATAGCTTGGCCACTTGTATACAACAGCCAGGAACTGGAGCAGGAGGTAGACCAGAGAGTCTCAATGAGCCAGAGTCAGAACCCAAAGAATCACAACCAAGGTTCTGCCCAAAATGCAGGGCTCTGGGTTATACTCTTCGACTTTTTGAACCAGGAATCTATTTTGAACAAACACGTTCTTCTGTGGGTGGTGGGTCTCTTAGGATCACATGTTGAGACCACTCCAATGGTTTGTGTTTAAGACCTAATACTGCTACATTGCAGCTTGTGAGCAGATACTCCTGCCCTCAGCCTCCATCTTTGTGAAGTAGGAGTGACCACACCTGCCTTGGTTTGTGCCTAAGTGAGCCCTGTACTGGTCCAGCAGCCATTCTCTCCTGGATTGCTGCCTCCAGTCCTAGTTCTGCCTTCCCCAAGCATCCTTCCCTCCCCTCTCCCCACCCTCCTCCTTCCCCTCCTCCCACCACCCCTCCTGAGCTGCAGTATAAACTCCTCTTATCCATTGCTCTGACCCTGAGCAGGGGTGCCCAAACCACTGGAGTTCCAGCAAGGTCAGCCCTCATGCTAGGAATGACGTGGAGACCTTACTATTTCTCAGCCAGTCTGCGTCACTGTCGTGGTCAAGGACCGCTGCACATAGCACCAGCCAGTGGTCAAGGCCAAAGGAAAATGTCAACGCTTGCCCAGGAATCCCCCACCCCTTGCTCTGGGCCCCTGTCTTCAGCAGTGTCCCTCCATGACAAGCTTGCTAGCCAATCTTACTGATTGCCACTCTCTTGGCCTCAGTTTCCCCTCAACGAGACCCTGGTACAGGGGACACTGCTGCCTAGCATGCTCACTGTCCTGGATCCAATTCCCAGCAATGCAAACCTAAAGTGAAAAAGAAAGAAAGCAAAGTCTTCCCGTACAGGCTGCTGCTGCTTGCTTTGCTTTGGACCAGAGGGACATCTTGTACTGGTACCCACATGTGCAAGTAGGTGAGGACTGCCTGGCAGCCAGCTGTGCCCTGGAGGGCTGGGAACTTGAGCTCAGGGGTTACAGTGACAGGGCTTAGGAGCCACTGTGTGAGATGGGATGTAGGGGCTAAGGAGAAAGACTGAGGCACCTGCTTTGCTTTGTCCCTACCTTTGGAATGGCTTCAGGGGCTGGTTGACGGGCACAGGGGGAGCACTGTGGACCCTGACTTCTGTCCATGAAGCTGAGAGTAGGATTGGGGCCTCTGGCTGGAGGGGAGCTGTAACAGGGCCCCAGACCTCAGTAGGCCCCCAGACCTTAGCACAACTGACTCCATGATGGAAGTACCATTCAGGTTGTAAAATTCAGCACATAGACAGCACCACCTGCCAAAACTAAAAACAAAGATTTAATCTGGGGAAGTCTCTAAATGAACTAACCTTGCTATTTGGCTTCTGTAGTTCCTCTTCTGGCTAATTGTTCTTGTTAGCTGAAGTGTGTCAACCCAGAACATGGTTTTTGTGCTTTAAAGCTCCCCCTGAGGAAGGCTCAGTCCTACACTGGGATCCCAAACACCTAGTGTAGTTGTCATCCAGCTAACGAAGACTTTCTATTGGCTTAAGCCCATGTGTGAGCATGGTGGGTATCCCACAACACAACACAACCTGCTTCCAGAGGCAGGTCTTCATTTGGGGATTCTCCAAGGCAGTTCACCTCCAACCCTATTCTAGAGATCAGGAGATGTCCAGGAGGCTCTAGAGATCCCCAGGATCAAGGCCTCTGGCCACACACAAGAAATTATGGCCAAGATGTCTGCTTGGCTCAAGTTGTCTTTTGTTTTCTTTGTTTGTTTTTGTCTTTATGTTTTGTTTTTAGTTTATTTTTAGAGAACCTGCATAACATGTTGTTTGTTTGTTTTTGCTTAAAAAGCAATGCCAGGCTAACAAGATGGCTCAGTGGGTTAAGGTGCTTGCTGCTAAGCCTGACAACTTGAGTTCATTCCCTGGGATCCACACAGTAGAAGGAGAGAACCAATTTCTTCAAGTTGTCCTCGAAACTCCACACACATGCACTCAAACACATGGTAGATTAATGAAAATGTAATTTGCAGTTGGGCAGTGGTGGTGCATGCCTTTAATCCCAGCATTTGGGAGGCAGAGGCAGGTTGGAGCTCTGAGTTCCAGGTCAGTCTGGTCTACAGAGCGAGTTCCAGGACATTCAAGCTACACAGAGAGACCCTGTCTCAAAAAAGAAAAACCAAAAAAGAGGAAAAAAGAATCATTTACAAAACCTATGCCTCTACTGCAAACAAATCTGAGTCAAAAGAAATGACTTCAAGATGACATCAGTTCCACTTGTCAGGGTGTGGAGGTGCCAGTTAGCCAAAGAAATTGTTACTTCTTAACGTTTCCATTTCTAAGTCATCCTTGAAAAAAAAATATAGTGGGCCACACTGTCCTCGAGGTAATCCAGAAAGTGACACTTGCTGCTCTCTAGATTCATGTTTTCACCAGTTAAAGTTTTTTTGTTTTTGTTTTTGTTTGTTTGTTTGTTTGTTTGTCTTGAGACAAGGTTTTGCTATGTAGCCTTGGCTGACCTGGAACTTGCTCTGTAGACCAGGTTGACCCTGAACTCACAGAAATCTGCCTGCCTCTGCCCCTACTTCCCATGTGCAGGGATTAAAGATATGCACCACCATGACTCATTTTCTTTAGTCTTGCCATGGTGTGTGTGTGTGTGTGTGTGTGTGTGTGTGTGTGTCTGTGTGTCTGTGTGTCTGTGTGTGTCTGTGTGTGTCTGTGTGTGTGTCTGTGTGTGTGTCTGTGTCTGTGTCTGTAATTTGTCCTCTGGCAGTAAGTGCCTTTACCTGCTGAGCCATTTCTCCAGCCCCTTTGTAGGCTTCTTTTGTGAAGCTGTTTCCTGTTGTGATTCGTGATATCATCAACCAGGGATTTTTGATGGGCAGGTCCTCAGGCCGAGCCTCTGTCCTACTGGCCATCTTCCCCTCTGTGTCCAGGCACAAGCTGTCTTTGGTCTCTCTTCTCACCTTGGCTGATGGCCTCCTGAGCTGTTGGGGAGGCAGATGGCAGATTCCAGGAAAAGGCCTGTGTGGGCCAGGGTGCTGGGGGGAAAAGAGGTGACAAATGGGTTCTTGTCAGAGCTGAGACTCCATGTCAAGGAGAGGCAAGTTGAGACGGAGCAGTGGAGTCCACGATTTAGTGAAGGTTGGGAAGCCTCGTGAGGAAGAGGAACGTGAAGGACAGCAGACAAGCTGGAGCCAGTCAGGCAAAGGCGGAAGATAGATGTGTGGCACCGATGGGAAGGCGGCAGTCCCAACCAGCTGCAGCCGCATTTCCATGGTTAGTAAGCTCCATGCCATTGCCTGCAGCAGCCTGCGTTCTTTCGGAGAACTCTACTTCCTGGGAGAGAGATTCTCGGCTTTGCTGAAGAAAATAATTTTAATATGAGCCAGCTTTAAGTAGAGGGTTGGTAGAAAAAGAAGTGCTTGGGGAAAGACATGATATACCCAAGTACGGCTGTGAACCTCTCAGCAGTAATGTCTAATCCTCTTACTAGAAGCTACATACAGGACTTGGGAGCTCTTTTTTTTTTTTTTTTTTTTTTTTTTTTCAAGACAGGATTTCTCTGTGTAGTTTTGGAGGCTGTCCTGGCACTCGCTCTGTAGACCAGGCTGGCCTCAAACTCACAGAGATCCGCCTGCCTCTGCCTCCCGAGTGCTGGGATTAAAGGCACCAACGCCTGGCGACTTGGGAGCTCTTAAAGGCCCCTCCCAAATGGTTGCTAAGAAACTTCTGCTTTTGTTTCTTTGCCATCTTCTTACTGATTTTTGTTGTTTTGTTTTTTAAAACAGGGTTTTTCTGTGTAGCTTGGGAGCCTGTCCTGGCATTCACTTTGTAGACCAGGCTGGCCTCGAACTCACAGAGATCTGCCTCCCTCTGCCTCCCAAGTGCTGGGAGGCATGCACCACCACTACCCAGTTGTCATCTTATTGTTAATTTCTTCTTCTCCTCCTCTCCTTCTTCTACTTCATCTTCTCCTCCTCTTTCTCCTCCTCTTCTCCCTGCAACTGCCCCCCCCCATTTTTTAACCAAGCTCTATGTAGCTCTGTCTGTCCTAGAACTCTCCATGTAGACCAGGTCAGCTATCCACTGCCTCTGCCTCCCAAGTGCTAGGACTAAAGATGAGCACCACTACACAAGGCTTTCTTCTTTTTGGGGACAGGGGCTCACTGTGTAGCCCTGGCTGGCCTAGAACTCAGTACGTAGACTAGGCTGGTCTTGAACTCACCAAGATCCATCTGCCTTTGCCTCTGCTTAGTTCTGAGTTCAAAGGAGTATAGCACCACACCAGATGTTACCCTCTTCTTTGATAAATGAAGGTGTAGGGTGAGATTAGAGGTGTTTAGGACAGGACTGCAACCTAATAAGATAAAAGCAGTGAGTGACAAGGGTGTTAGGACCCATTTTTTACTATAGATGGAAATTTCTTGTGATGTTTCTAGAAAACAGCAGATTTACAGCTAGCAAAGAAGAAAGGACATATATACACCCCATCTAGACCTTAGCAGGATTCATTGTTACTCAGCATTCTTATTTAAAATACATTTGTATTAAAGGAATCTTGTCTCTGTGTGGACATCCTTCACAGCAAATGCTGCCAGTTGTACAGGAATTCTTAAGTGTTTTTTTTAGCATTTATTCATTTTAGAGGGAGGCATACACGTACCAGAGCACGCATGTGGCATACACATGCCACAGCACACATCTGGAGGCTGTGAGAGGATAACTTTCGGAAAGACGTTGGTTCTTGCCTTCCACCATGTGGACTCTGGAGACTGAACTCAGGTCATCAGGCTTGGTGGTGAGCACCCTTACCTGCTGAGCCATCTCATAGCCCTGAGCTAGAACTGAAAGGCTTTGATGAGACCCTGGGGCTAGCCCCTGTGTTCCCTTCCTGTATCCCCTTATTTTTCCCCTGTCTTTCTATCCTAAGCCATGTGATTATCACCCACAACAGGGGCCTTGGTCTGTGATTTCATAGGTATTTAAATACCTCCCCTGCATCCTTTCTGCCAAGAGAATGGGATCCTGGCACAAAAGGAAGACAGAATCCAAGAGAGTGAGCAAAGGCTGCACTGTGGTGGCAAATGTCTTGAATCCCAGCACTCAGGAGGCAGAGGTGGACAGTTCTCTGTGAGTTCATGCCAGTTAGGGCTATCTGAGACCCTGTCTCAAAGAGAGGGGGATGGCTAGGGAGGGAGAGATTAGGGACTCAGAGGGGAAGTAGATCTGTGTGTGTATGGTCAGGGAGGACAGTTGGGGGACAGTTGCTAAAAATTCAGTTAGCAAATAATGTTCAAGTGTTTGGCCAGACGCTGTGACTGTTGCCAACTTCAGGTTCCCCTAAAGTAACCGTACAGGAAGGTGCCACAATTAATCTCTATATGGGACAGAGCACAGGATAGGTAACTTGTATACAGCCAGCAAGAAGGAAGTATGGCTGACTGTTGGCCTCTGCCTTTAAGACCAGTTTTTCAAACCTAGGTAGAAACTTCAAGGAACCAGGCTGTGGTTGCAGTGAGGATCTTGGGTCTCAGTGGAGGGGTTTCTGTACTCTGGGTGGCTGGTCCAATTGGAGTTCAAGGACTACTCCATAGCCAGCCAGGATCTCAGGAGGCAGGACTCCTTCCAGACCCACACACTTGGGGACATCATCTGTGCTTGGTCAGTGGCTCTGAGCTTCTTCCCATTTCGGGAGTCCCTGGAAGGAGACAGGCTCTTCTGCCCCACACCACAGAATTTTCCTCTGATAATGGAAAGCTGGATCCTGCTCTTTCTGCCTCTGCCTAGGTCCAATAACATCTCCATCCCTTCTGCATGCTGACAATAGAAGGGTAACAGCCACTACCTGTCATGGACATGAGAAAGGCAGCCAGGTATGTGTGTGAGTGTGTGAGTGTGTGTGTGTGTGTGTGTGTGTGTGTGTTTTCAAGACAGAGCTTCTCCATGTAGCCCTGACTGTCCTAGAACTAGATCTGTAGACCAGGCTGTCCTCAAACTCACAGAGATTTGCCTGCCTCTTCCTCCCTAGTGCTGGGATTAAATGCGTGTGCCACCCCGGCCAACAAGTGTGGTTTAAGCCTGAGTCTTACAAGCACCCATCCAGTGTCCATATCCTATATTCCCTCCTCCAGCCTCAAGCAGTCAGCACAGGACCTGGGCTTCATTTTCCTCATATACAAAAAATGAGTGATACTTCTGTGATGGTCAAATGTTACGTGTCCACGGGGTCCACTGTTTAAACACTAGATGTTGCGGTGACTAACACCTAAATGAAGGCGATTATTCTGGATAAGGAGGGTGGGACTCCATCAGTCAGCTGAAGGCTTCCAGAACAAACATAGATTTCCTGGAGTAGGCCTTTGTCACAAGCAGGGAGGCAGAAGTCTGGCTAAAGTGTCAAACCCACCCACTCCTCTCCAGATTTCCTGCTTGTCAGTCTCGGGGCCATTTCTCCAGCTCCCTCCATCATATCAGCTCCGTTTCTCAGGAGAACACTGACTGGTTCTTTCTTTCTTTCTTTTTTTTTTTTTTTTTGGTTTTTTGTGACAGGGTTTCTTTGTGGCTTTGGAGGCTGTCCTGGAACTAGCTCTTGTAGACCAGGCTCGAACTCACAGAGATCGGCCTGCTTCTGCCTCCCCAGTGCTGGCATTAAAGGCGTGCGCCACCAACACCCAGCTGACTATTTCTTTCTTTATACAGACTGGGGTGAAAGTTCTGTGACAGGGACAATGCCTTTCTGGAGTCAACTGCACCTGGGAACAGCAAGCAGAAAGTGTCATTTGTTGGCTACAGGTCAGATAAGTGAGGCCTGAGAAAGTGACACTTCTAAATCCTCAGAGAGCTGGAGTCAGGCTTCTAACCCTACCTGCCTGTGCCTCAACCCACCTCCTCACAAGCTACCCAAGGGGCTCAGTATGGGCTCTCTCTTTCCAGGAGTTCCCTTTGGGTTTAATTAAAGCCCTCAGGCATTGGTAGGGGGGAGTAAAACCAGAAACCCTACTAGGACTCCTGGCACTGAATTAACAGATTCTTGTGCAAGAGCGGCTGGGGTTGTGGCATGCCAACACTTAATTGCTCCAGAACTGTCTTGTGGCTTTGAGCTAGTGAATGGGGTAAACAAAGCCTTGCCCACGTCCCTGCAACCCTAGGGAGCTAAGGTCTTTGAAACACAGGCCTGGGATCTGCCTTACAGCTACCTTTGGGACCCACGAAGGTGAGGGCAGTGGAGGGGCCAGAAGCCCTTGTCCTCTAAGCGCTCGGAGGTCCTGCAGTCCGGTGTTGCTGAGCGGCAGGGCGCAGGGCACTTCTTTACCGAGTTCCTCTAGCTTCAGTCCTTCCCCCAGCAACTCCTTTGTACCTCATCTGTGTTGTAGGTCTGAGCAGTTTCAGGTACTAAGGGATCATGGGGCTTGGGCGCACACACAGAGAACAGGTGGACACAAGTACTTCTGGACTAGTGTAGAGGGAGAGCATAGCAGTTCAGTGGGTAAAGGCACTTGCCATGAAAACTTACTGACCGGATCCTCAGAACCCAGGTCAAGGTGGAAGGAGAGAATCAGCGTGTGCCTGCACACCTATGTCATGCATTAATAGTCTTAAAAATCCTAAGAAATAGTGATTGGGACCCTATTAACATAGATTATCAAGACAAACCTATGACTGCTAATACTTGGATGCTGATTTTCTGTTTTTGAGACAGAGTTTCTAGTCAAGGCTGGCCTCCAGTTAGTTCCCTGAGTGGTTAAAGATGACCTTGAACTCTTGGTCTCCCTGCCTCTACCTAAATGCTGATCTATGCAGTGCCAGAGTTTGAACTCAAGGCCTATACATTAGGCTGCCCAGCAACTGAGCTACATCCCCAGAATGATGATAAATGCTTTATCTTTTAAGTTTATTTTATGTCTATATATGAATGCCTGCATGCATGTATACACACCTCCTGTATACATGGTGCCCTCGGAGGCTGGAAGAAGGTATCAGATGCTCTGGAACTGGAGTTAAAGGTGGTTGTAAGCCTCCATGTGGGTGCTGGGAACCAAACTTAGATCCTCTGTAAGAGCAGCCAGTGTTTGTAACCATTAAGCCACCTCACCAGCTCCCAGATGATAACTTCTCATTGTGAAGGCACCATTAGGTGGTTTGCAGTGATGATCTGTTTGAAAACAAATTGTCAAGAAAATAACTCCAACCTGCTAGGGACTGTGTTGTGGCCTCTCTGTTAGAGCTTGCTAGTGGAAACTGTCTCTACTGACCTGCTGGAAACCATAGGGAGGGCTCCCATCCTGGTCATTTCATTCTTGTGGGTTCACTTCAGAGCCATGGGAGGTGGGAGGCAAGGTGACAGCAGCCCCTGGGGGCGGGACAAGGGTGAGAAGGCCTGAGGTCACCTTGGGAGTTATAGGCTACTCAAAAAAGACAAGATGGAGCCGGGCATTGGTGACGCACGCCTTTAATGCCAGCACTCGGGAGGCAGAGGCAGGCGGATCTCTGTAAGTTCGAGACCAGCCTGGACTACCAAGCGAGTTCCAGGAAAGCCTCCAAAGCCACAGAGAAACCCTGTCTCGAAAAACAAAACAAAAACAACAACAACAACAAAAAAAAGACAAGATGGTGGTGGGGGGGGGAAGTGGGTCTGGTGGAATGGGCTGAGGTTCTTTCAGCTTCTAGCAAACCACAGGCGTAACTTCATCTCCAGCAAAAACAACTTGGTCCAGTCAAGAGAGGGTCATATTCTGCAGGTGAGAAGACAGCTCTGTAGCTGTGGGGTTCAACCTCAGGCAAAGCAGGCCTTTGGGGCTCAGGAGGGTATGTTAGACCTCAGGCAAAGCAGGCCTTGGGGCTCAGGAGGGTGAGTATGTTAGACCCAGCCTGGGGGACCTGCTGCAGGAGGGCACTGCCATGCATTTACTAACCTCCAGAACCCATCCGGCTTGACGCAGTGACTAGTTGTGACACCAGTTCTATGCTTCCCCCAGCCAACTGCCACAAGCCCACTGAGCCCCAGGTTCCTCCTTGCTTAACCTCCCACACAGAGTTCTGCAGAGCTGTGCTTTCATTACCCTGACCTGGGGGTTTGGAGGGCAACAAGCTGGAGCCCCCTACCTCAGGATACGCAATAAGTACTTGTTGAATGAGTAAATGGATGCATGAATGAATGCAGTACATAATGAATGAGGATTATATGTGGATTATGTGTGAATGAGTTTGGGGTGAGTCCCTAGACCCTAGAAAAAGGGTAGTCTGTTAGCTTTGGGGTGTATTGTGTCAGCTGAGGAGTCGATGTTGAAAGCTAGAAACTGATGGCTGGTCACAAGGGGCCTGAAGAGAGCCTGGGGACATTAAATGAGATCATCCGCAGGGCACCCAGGTGCTTGGGCACCCAGGTGCTCGGGCACCCAGTTGCTCGGGCACCCTTGAGAGCCTGCCCTGGTAGGCTCCCGCAAGTGACCAGGTCTGGATACCCTGCCACCATATACCACCCAGGCATAGACAGGGTCACACAAGCCCTCCAATGTGTCTGCAGCAGCAGCAGCAGCAGAAGCAGCAGCAGCAGCAGCAGCGGCAGCAGCACCTTTTGCTACACTGGCCCTGGGAAGGCCTGCTCTGCTTCTCAGCCTTTTTGGCAAACTGTGAACATGAAGTCAATGGAACCCTTGGAACTGACTTAGGCACAGGTTGTGAGATGGACCACAAGCACATGGAAAGTCTTGTTTTGTTTCTCAAGACAGGGCTTCTCTGTGTAGTCCTGGCTGTCTTGGCACTGACCCAGCACCAGGTGCAGTATGGGCACCAGAGGACACACACACAACTTTCTGAAGTGGCATTCTTTCCTTTGACTAGAAGGCTACGAGGTGTTCTGTGGTCAGATAAGTTGGTGTATTATATAATTCCCTTCATATTGGGTAACTATTTCAAAAACAGTTTTCCCACAGTCTGCCTGTGTCTTAGCAGGCAGAAAATTGCTGGCTGACTCTAAAGTGACCATTCAGATGTGAAAGATCTTATGGCCAATTTCCTTTTAGGATAACCTGCTGATTACATTCACAAGCACAACACTAGACAGCTCATGAATACATGCACAATCTCAGGCCACGAGTACTCAGAGACACAAACATCTATCACATATGGCCATATTCCAGAGCTCCTGGTTACAGAGACAACAAATACCAGCTGCCTTAGGCAGCCACAATGTTACTTTGTTACAAGTGACAATATAACCAATGTGAGCCCCAGGACTGATAGCCATAGTGTGCCATATTGGGGATGTCATCATACACATGGGGGCCAAGGCGAACAGGGCCACAGCCTTGCATTGCTTCTCCTCTACTGAGTTGTCCCCCACAAGGGCTGCTGGGATATGTGGTCACCTGCACTCCCAATGAATCCAGGGGAATCATGAGGCCTGTCTGTCTGTCATCCCCCTTACATCCTCAGTAGCCCCCTGCTCAGAGCTGTCCTAATGTCCCTCAACACTCCCAAAAAAGTACTAACTGACCAGAATATGGACTCTGGGATAGTGTGACCAAGCTGTGTGACCATAACAGCCCATTTCTTTCTTAGTCTCAGTTTCTCCACCTGCCAATGGGAACGTGAAGGGGGACAGTTCTAGTCTCTTCTAGCTCCTGTGATAGGGACACCTCCAATTCTTTGGTTCCTCTGGTATTCCCTAAGTCTCTAACTCATTGTCCAAAACCTGTTAATAAATATCCCTGAAAGGTATCCTTGGAAGCAAGGAGAATCCTGGGAGAGGCTCCTTGTGGCAGATCTGGTGTTCCATTGTCTATAGAGCTGCAAGAGGGACTCTCCAGCTTGCAAACAGAGGGCTTGCGGGATGACCTCCCGGTACCCATCTAAAGCCTCTGTAAATGTCATCTGAGTTCAGAGAATCGGTCTGTAGAAGCAAGAGGAAAAAAGCCCTCAAGAGAAGCTGCCTTATGACCTGGCAATGGACTCAGGCAGGGTAGGCACTCTGAGCACCCATAGGTGCCTTATGTTCTAGGAAAGCTAAGGTGGCTCTCCCTGGTGTCTTTCTTGCTCCTAAATCTCCCCCAAATGTTCAGCCTCCCCAGATAGTCCAGAGAATCGATGTATGAAGCTCTGTAGCTAAGTTCCTGGCTCCTGAGCCTGGGGAAAGGTCAACTGATATGTACCTAACCCAAGTCCTCTCAGGGTCACCATGAAACAACTCAAGTTTTTTGTGTTTTTTTTTTCAAAGAGTAACTGAGTGGCCACTCAGTGCCAGGTACACTATGGGAGCCAGAGAACACAAACACCATTCTGAACTGGTATCTTTCCCTGTGACTAAATGTTTACTGGGTGTTCTAGAGCATTCTGTGGTCAAGTGAGTTAGTGTGTTATATAATTCACAAGTTCTGAAGAAAGACGAGCTGGTTTCATTTCTGTGGCTTTTGGCAGGAGTTGTGAGCAAGCTGTGCGAAGGGATTGTGTAGGGATGTGGGCGGAGAAGACACTCAAGTGTGCCTTGTTTCCCACACAGCTGCACACAGGACTAAGAGCATCTAGCAAGGTCTAGTGGGGTCAAAGGTCTCCAGAAGTACTTGAGGGCTGGGGGCCTAGCTCAGTGGTAGAACACTTGTCCAATGCACTTGGCAACCTGGTCTCCAGCCCTCAACAAAACAAAACAAAACAAAACCCCTAGAAGCCCTGATGCATAGCGAGCCTCCCCCAGCACCCCACCCCCGGGGCTCATTTAGATACACATCTCTGTGTGGTCCCAGAGTTCCTTATTCAGAAGGTGCTTCTCTCCCTACCATTCCTGATATGCTAGAGACCAGTGACCACATCTCTGCAGGACCAAAGAGCCCTTTCAAAAACCCAAGCTACGCACAGTCCTGCCACAGCTTAGAGCAGACTAGTGACTCCTGCCTTCTGGAAGACACTTCCCTATAGGAATCTGCAAAGCCTAGCCACTTTATTGACAGCCCCTCATTTTTCTATCCCTTAAATTCAACCAAGAAATCCCTACCTGGGGCCCCTGCTACTGCCACCCTTTCTGTCTGTGATGTTCCTCCCCTCCAGCTTGGTGTGCCAACCTCATGCTTTCCTTCCCCCTCTTCCCCATCCTAGCCCCTGCCTTTCTGTGAAGCCCTTGCTGAGCACTAGAGTTTTTGCTGCCCCCTGGCCCTCCCCACCTTGTTCTCAACCTCCCTCTGTGTGCCAGAACTTTCTGATCTCTTTTAACCTCTGTCAACACCAGGCTAAGGCTTGTTGGTGGCTCCACCCCACAGTACACAGTCCGGGGTGGGGGTAGGGAGCTGCTATCAAAAGAGAGGATCCTGGAGCAGTCCAAAGAGCCCCCAGAGGCCTGGATGTCTTAGGCAGCCAGACTGGAGAAGATTGGACTATCCCACAGGAGAGAGCAGCAGGGGCTTTCCCAGTCCTTGACCGGTATGGAGTCCTAGGATAGTCTAGGGAGGGAGAACAAGCATCTAGACTTGGGCAGAGGGAGTGGCCCTGTGGGTCATGTCACCGGTTCCATGAGCTTTATCAGTGCTAACCTGTGTCCTAATTCCTGGAGCATGTCATGTTCCCGACAACGCACACAGGTCAACGCAGTACAGATGAACTCAGCTCACCGGATGATCTCAGCTCTCCACAGTGATCCCGATGAGCTCACCAGAGAGAGACAAGCCTGTCCATCTCAACCCACCTTCCTGGCCCAGGAAGGAAGGTTGAGGGAAAAGGGTTTAACTTGGGCCAGACTGAGTCCAGATGTCTGAGTTCCAAGGAGGGATGGGGAAGGGCAGACCCTTCTGACCAACTCCTTTCTGAGGTTACACACACACACACACACACACACACACACACACACACACACACACACACACACACCTCCTCCATCAAGCCAAAGCTGTGCATTTGGGTAGCCTTGGAAGTGCAAGGCTCTCTGTGCATCTGCACATGATGTCAGTGCTGGCCTTGCAGAATATAAGGAAACTTCTGAGGAGCAAAGATTTGACATTGATGGCCCTTTCACAGAGGAAGTTGATATTGTACCCTGCACCTGACTGCAAGTTCAGGTTACCCTAGTCACTTGAGTTAGACCTCTTGGGTGTAACACCATGGCTGGTGCTTTGCTTCTATATATATATATATATATATATATATATATATATATATATATATATATATCTACCCTGGCATGTGTGTGTTTGCCCACCTAATCTCTCTCAGCTTCCCCTGTCTGCTCTTGTTAAGACACCACCTGTTGACATGTTGACAGTAAGTATGTGCCAGGCACTATAGTAGCCTATGCCCCAGGGTTGGATTCCTCTAAAAGATACATCCAACTCCATCCCCTGCCATCAGTGAATCTGATCTTATTTTGAAATAGGGACTTTGCAAATATCAGACGAAATAAATTCATCCTAGAAGAGACTGGGCTTATAAGAGGGAAATCTGTACACTGAAGGTAAGACGGCTATGTGACAAAAGGAGGCAGAGGATAGAGAGACACTGCTCACAGAGACAATGTCTAGATGGAGGTGGGAAGTGTGCGCCTCCTTGGCTTGCCCAGCACACCCTACTGCCTATAAAGAGAAGGTCCGTGTCCCCTGCACAATATCCAAAGCCTCCCTGGTTACTGTCCAGCTCCTGGGGGCCACAAGGTTGAGAGAGAGGAGACCCGGGGTCTAGGCTTCGAGTCTTCTCCATAGGAGTCCCAACACCACCGCCTTGAACCCACTGCACTCTGACCCCGGTTTCCATCCTGGCCTGAGTACAGGAGCTGCTGCCACTGCCCAAAGCAGAGCCAGAACAATCTGGTCACATTCGTAGAAACTTGGCATGGTCCAGTAGACCCTGAGCCAGAGAGGGTGGGGAAGAAGAAAGGGCAAGGCCACAGCCTGCTTGATGTTGTACCAATCTTTCTACGAACTCGCAGAGGTTGGCACAAACAGGTTTCTGCTGTCCCTGTGCCTATTGGCATGAAAGGGCACCGGCACACTCGTTAACGTGGACATATGGTTTATATTGGCTCCATCTGGTCCCCTTTTTCCTGCCATTTTTGCTTAGACAAACCTCACTTCCAATTGCCGGGACTGGAGACCCTGTGCACGAGGCCTTTCTTTGTCCTAGGACCCCTGAGGCCCTGTGTAGGGCAGAAGGGAAATGCCAGGCCCAACTGTGCCTGTTGGGAATGGGTGAACAAGTGGGTTCCCTCACTCTTCAGGGACAGCCTTGGGCATTATTGTGTGACATACCCCAGGGGCTTTTCAGTGACAATGAGTGTTTGTGACTCAATAGTAACTTTCATAGTAACAAAACTATTACTGTCACTTTCCCTTCCCCGCCTCACTTTCCCACACTGTCCTGGTGCTTCCTACAGTCACTCTTCATATAAATGAAAAACCTTCTAATTCACTGGTTCTCAACTTCCCTAATGCTATACAGCTCCTCATGTTATGGTGACCCCCAACCATAAAATTATTCTTGTTACTACTTCATAACTGTAATTTTTGCTACTGTTATGAATCATAATGTAAATATATTTTGTAGACAGAGGTTTGTGGAAGGGGTCGTGACCCATAGGTTGAGAACCCCTGCTAATCCTTTCTCTAGGTCAGCCAGAAAATCCCAGATTAAAATACACGGGCAGAGGTACATACACGGCCTCACATAGGTACACACACACACACACACACACACACACACACACACACACACATCCGGATCCACATCTTAGACACAGCACAACCACATAGATCCATAGACACACAAGGTTGCTGTGAAACAGACACATACACACAGATGATACACAGCCATAGATACACAGGTGTGGTCATTCCCAGAACACTTGTTAGTGTGGTGGGGACACACACACACACACACACATGAATTGTTGGTGGGGACACACACACACATGAATGCCCGTATACTTCTACTCATTCCATATGATGAAGCACGAGACTCCTCTGGGAATATTCAGTCCCTCAGCTAGAACAAAGAGAATCCAGGAACCAGGGGAGAGGCAACTGGCCTGAGGAAGTCTGAGCAGCCTAAGTCCCACATGTTCAGCAATGAGGTATCCATAAAACATGGAGGCATTTAAGACCAAGTTCAGGGGTTCCGGGTAGGGGTCAGGATTCCTCTACACTCTTCACATGGCGTTTTCAGGAAGAGAGAATACACTGAGCAGGGACAGGGTGGGGAAGTGTGGCCCATGGAGTCATCCTAGCTGGGTGGGGCACAAAGTAGGGGCAGAGAGGCCGGGGGCTGAGCGGTGGACAGTGGGGAGTCTGGCCTTATCCTGGCCTGGCCGTGGGGAACTACAGATGGGTCTCAACTGAGGGAACATGCAGTGGGCCCCAGGGAGGCAGACAAGAGCTTTCTCTCCTCCTCCAGGGCCTGAGGACCAGCCACTTTCTCTCTGGGGCTCAATCTTTGCCTTGTACAACCTGGTGGTTGTATGACTCCTGGCTGCACCTGAATGGGATATAAAAATGACCCTTCAGAGAGAGGGTTTTGCCAACTGAATGAGGCCTTGCTTCTTAGAGCTGCCTGGAGAGGTAACAGCCCCTGAGGGGCGAATTCACTCTCTAGGGTGAGTTTGTTCCTGCTTGCCTCTGACTCTCCCCTCATCTTTCCCTCCCTGATGTTTCTCCTCCCAGAAGCCCTTACTCAGCCACTAGAGTGCCTCTCTGGCCCCATGCTGAGTTGACCTCCAGTGAGAACACTCACCAAGTTCAGCCTGTTTGGTGGCCCTGTTCCTGTCAGCCTTCCCTTGCTCAGTCACTAGCCAGCCCTGCTGAGCCAGGTATGGGGGAGGGGAGAGAGCTGCACATGCTTTCCCTAAATGTGTGGAGCCTGTAATTGGGCTAAGGACACAGCAGTGGTCCACAAACATCCCTGGAATTGAATTGCTTGCTCCTGAGCACATAGGGAGCCCCTCCCTGAGCACAGGCTTCACAGGGATGGTGGGAAGGATCCAGGATTCCAGGGGTTGACTTGTTAAACAAGTCTGCATGACTTTTCTTGTGCTCTGCCTCCTGATACTGGGATTAAAGGTGTGCACTACCACCACCTGGCCATCCATATACTTATGGGAAGACGGGCCAAAGCTGGGTGCTCATCTATAGGGATCCCCTTTAACATCCCTACTGGCAAGGGATATTTTACCAGAGTGACAACCGTAGCCGGATGGAGGAGCAGGTATAGGCAAGGCAGAGACCTGTAACACCATTGGCTTTCTTTTTTCTCTAGGTTGTGGCCTGTTTTAGAGAAGGCTGACTCACAGGGCCATGCCAGCTCTGTAAAGGGAGCCATTAAAACCCAGGATTGCTGTGGGACTCCCTAGGGAGAGTACTTTGCAACACCACTCCCACAGCATAGTTCCATCTGAGGGGCATGGGGAGCGCTTTTGTTTCACTATAACTCTGGGACGAGGTGTGTGACTAACTGGAGACCAATTCCCAAGGATCTAGTCTGTTTTTCTGTCCTAACAATCTGTTTTTACCCCAATCTCATCTGCTTTGTCCCATGTTTCTGTTTAGGTCTCTTTTCAGATCTTTGTTGAATGTGTTACCAGGTAAGGCAGCCCACACCTGAAATCACAGCACTTGGGACACAGAGGCAAGACAACAGCAGTTCAAGGTCACCTTTGGCTAGATAGTGAATTAGAGACTAGCCCGGGCCACATGAGACCTTGTCTGAAAAAACAAAAATAAGAAACAAGCTGGTTGTGGTGGCACAGGCCTGTAACTGAGCACTCTAGAGGCAAGGTGGGCAGATCTCTACGGATTCAATTCACTGGTCTACACAGGGAGTTTCAGGCCATCCAAGGCTACATAGTGAGAACCTGTCTCAGCAACCCCAACAACAAAAGACAACAATGAAGGAAACCCAGGGTACCAGATGATAACAAATCACTGGAGGAAAACGAAGCAGGGACAAGGGAGGAGGGGAGGTCATGATGTTTGAACAAGTCATGATGGAATTGATAGTCAGAACCAAGTTGTCACTGGCACTGGATCCAGTATAAAAAGCATGGAGCCAGGTACACTGTCTTTCAAGGACTGGTGAGGCCAATGAGGCTGCAGCACAGAATGCTGGGAAGAATACTGGAAGCAGAGACAGAAGGTGTTGGCTAGACTGTTGGCGCAGAGGAAGTATGAAGTCACACACTTCGTATTAAGTGACAGAGAAACATCAGGCTCCAACATGAATTAATAGCTCATGGGATGTCCCCACCCTCATGTAGCAGGTGTTATACTATAATTGAGAACACAGGGGCTGGGAGAGTCAGTGTGACTCTTACTAGCTTATCCTGCTTGTAGGTGGCAGAGTCTGGATGCATCCCCAGACCAGCCCAACCCTAGGGACAAGCCCTGAGCTGCCCTGGCACAGAATCTAAAACCCAGGCCATCGGCAGGCACACAACAGATCTCCTGACAGCACTGACGGCCAGGCTGGACTGTTTAATTTGTGTGTGTGAGGGGGCACACATGCCGTGGTACACACATGGAAGTCAGAGGAAAACTTGAAGGAGTTGATGCTCTGCTTCAGCCATGTAGGTTCCTTTTTTGGTGCTGGGGGTTGTGTCTCTAAGAGTAAAGATGGAAGGAGGCGAGAAGGCAGCTTGGTTCAGCACCACTAAGTAGCTAGTGTTGGTTGAACCCTGAGGAAGTCTGATCCTGAGTAGTTTATTTCAGGCATAGTAAAACTTAGCAAAATTTGATTAAAATATTCCTAGTGATAATTAACTCCATCTCATATGCACAATACGCTTAAGATGTGAGTGCATCAAAACTCTTTGTAAAGTACATGTGACACCTTCCATAAAGATGAGTTCTACAAACCGGGCGGTGGTGGGACACGCCTTTAACCCCAGCACTCGGGAGGCAGAGGCAGGCAGATCTCTGTGAGTTCGGGCTGGACCGACAGCCTCCAAAACAATACAGAGAAAACCCTGTCTCGTTAAAAAAAAAATCTAAAAAAAAAAAAAAGATGGGTTCTACAGATGGATAAGCTTACAATGAGGGTATGGGGGAAGATCCTAAGTGGTTTCGCCACACAGGTAGTGGCAAAAGGTCACCAGGCTATTAACCACATCCACTCCCAGTCTTCTAGGTGGATAACAGGCTATGCATCCCTTCACTGAAGGAACAGCCTGAGTGTTTAACATTCCTTAGTGCTTTCCTGTGAGCACAAGGATTCTATGCCTTCCATACCATCTGGGAATTGAACTCAAGTCATCCAGCTTGCTTGGCAGCACACACTTTTCCATGCTCAGCCATCTCACTGACGCTTTCCTTTTAAAAATATTTATTTACATATTTAGTTAGTGCATATGTGTCTGTGTGTGAAAGTGGAGGCCAGCTGAGGGGGTCAACCAGTGGGTTACTTACAGGAGTATGGATGAAGGGTTACTTATCCCTTTTCATTTTTTATTTTGAGACAGGGTCTCACTGAATTTCCCAGGCTGGCCTCACATTCACTCTGTAGCTCAGGCAGGCTAAGAACCCGATCACACCTGTCTCAGCTTCTCCTGTAACTGTGATTACAGGGCTGAGTCACCAGGCCTGCTTAAATCCAGCCTTCTGAATTGAAGATTCCTAAACCAAGGTGTTTGACAGGCAAAGCAGACAAACCCGTTATCACTCAACAAGAAAAATCCCAAGTTTAGTAGACAGACTTTTCTGCATTTTTCTCCTCCCCCCAATCCCACTCTACCTCACCCCCGACACATGCCATGGATGTTTAAGCTGTCTATGGAGATCAGGCTGTGCCCTGCTCTAAGTTACCACACATAGTATGACAGTGGCTTTCCAGCTATGTCCTGCCCTAGGTGAATCCATGTTACACAGCAGTAGCTGGCTTTATTGTGAATACAAATACAAAGGCAGAATGACTCTATATTTCTTTGTGCATGTAGACTATCACTACCTGTCTAGGCACCAACCATGACATATAAACTGATAAACATCTCATTCCTGCAGGTAGAACGTTACCACCTGTGACCTTATCAAAGCAGAGTGGGAATACACAGGTACATTCAAATTGAAAACTAACAAAGCTGGGCAGTGGTGGCGCACGCCTTTAATCCCAGCACTCGGGAGACAGGCAGGTAGATCTCTGTGAGTTCGAGGCCAGCCTGGTCTACAGAGTGAGTTCCATGACATCCAGGG